CACCTGCAAAATGAAGAGACACAAGATCGGATGGGTGTTTTTGAAGGTGGCCTTTCAGTTCCGATATTGCCTTAAGACGTGGGTGTATTGCACGCAGGAGAATGCATACCTATGTCAGAAGTAGCAACAAGGACACAGATAGGTAGACAGGTAGGTAGACAGATACGCCTACAAAGTGAATATAATATCTTACCTACGACTGCAAAGCGTTTCAATTTTGCCCAATCCCCCCAACAACCCTAATGCTAAACCGGAAGGGGGGACAGGTCTCACCACCGAAGACCCCTCAGAATCCTAGGCACCCCACTAATACATGGTGCAGAGAGAAAGCAGTGGGGGGAGGGAGGGAAGAGGTCACTGACTTCACTACCGCGTCCTTCCACTCCTGCAGGGGGAGAGAAAAAGGCCAATCCGAGGCGGGGCTGAGGCTGGGGCAGGCGGTGGGGCACCCGCAGGAACTGACGGGGTGGCTGGAATCGGGGACCCCCCCCTGCGGCCGGTGCCCCGCGTGGGCAGCGCCGCCCACGCTCGGAACCGGCTCGGCGCCCAGCCCACGTGGGGAGGGCGGGAAGCCGCCCTCGGGGGTGGGCACATTCGGAAGCAGCCGCCCTGCAAAGGCGCGGCGCGGGACGGGGCGGGCGGCGGGAAGTTGGCTGCTTTCCGCGGGTGCACGTGGCCCCGCGGGGCGGGGGGACCAGCGTGGCCCGGGCATCCCCCCCGCACACACACACAGCACTGCCCAGGTCCCCGGCCCACCCCCACCTCCCCACCCCCCAGCCCGCCGGCGGCGCTAGGACCCCGCGCGCCCGCGCACGTCCTCCAGGCCGCGGCCGGCCGCCGCCCCGCCGCCCGCCCGCGCTCCCGCCCGGCGCCCGCCCGCCCCGCCGCCTACCTGGCGAAGCACAGCTCGCAGTGGTTGCCGCGCTCGTTAACCGTGAGCACGTAGGCGTAGGCCGGGCAGGAGAAGAGCAAGTCCCCCACCTGGAAGGACTGCAGCGCCCGCAGCCCCCGGCCTTTGCCCGGGCTGCAGAAGCGCTCCAGGCCGCCGTGGCCCTCGGCCCGCATGGCGGCAGCGACCGGGGCGGAGGGGCGCGCGGCGCCGTTGTGCCCGAGCGCGGCGCCCCGCGAGCTGTTATTGGAGACGCGTCACCCCCGAGCCGCGGGGGGGCGGGGTGGGAAGCGCCCGCCGCCTGCGCCCGCGCCCCGGAAGGGACGGCCCCGCCCGGCCGCGCGCCCCGGAGGTGCGGAAGGGGGGGGAGCGCCGCCGTCCCCTCCCCCGACACCCCCCCCCCCGCGCGGGACCCCACCCCCGGCCGCCTCCTCCCCTCCCCTTCCCGCCCCTTCCGGGCCCCGTCCCGCCTAGGTGTCCCCCGGCCTAGGCGCGGGGGATAGACCGTCGTCCTGGCGAGGGGCGCCGCGCCCTGCGTCCAGAGATGGGGGTCCAGGCCTCCCGAGCCCCGGACCCCACAGGGGAGCCGCGAGGTGGGGAAAAGCCAGGGAGCGGGGGTGGGAAACCCGCACGCTGGGAGCGTGGTCGGCCCCCTGCCCCCCCCCAGCCCTGCCTTCAAGGAACTGGGCCTGGGGAGCGGTCAGTGCCCCGCCCGCGCGCTAGACCTGCCGCGCTGTGGACCCACTGAGTTAGGATCTCAGAAAAATCACTTCGGCTCTGAGGCACCTAGAGGAGCCCAACTCCAGAAAGTTGTCCGAACAATGCCTGCCCGATAAGCCCTCACCCGCACCGGCGAAGCCACCTCCAGCCTTGGGGCTGGAGAGAAACTCGGGAGGGACAGAGTGACTAGGAAAGCAGTGTGGCGGAGAAAGAGATCGTGTGGCATTGACCAGCTAGGGGAAAACTGAAGGTGTATCTTCAGCATCATCCAAGTGTAGAGACGAGTGTTTGGATTGAATAGAATTAGGGGTGAGGGACAAAGAATATGCGTAGTAGAGTAAGAGTCTCCACTGGACATGTCATCTGGCCGGCCCTGATCCCAGTTCTAGTTTTTACCACCCCCTCTCCCCCCTCCCCCCCCCCCCCCCGCTTCTGGAGACGTTATCTCTCTGTCATCTCTTGGGGGGGGTAACCATCCGATGCTCATGAGATGATTTTTCCAGAGCCAGGGTGCATCCTTGGTAATTACCCACATTGGCCATGATCTGACCAAGAGTTTTCTCAAATTTTGCAAGTTCCCCTATGCACACCGACCTAGGCAAGCTGTGGATATTTTGTTGGATTCTTCAACAAACTGTTTTGTTTACCATGCTGATTTCTGCGGAAGTGTGAGATCTCCCCAACACCAAGATGAAAAAGATTGGCATGGAAGTCCACAGATCTGATTTACACTACAGACAAAACTTGGTGTTTGAAGGATTTGTTGGACAAAGCAGTCTACTTGTTTACTTTGCATTGCCCACAGGTTCTCCCCAACCCCCTTCTTCTATTAGGACAATTTCCATAGAGCTGCCTTTTACAGGTGAGCTATGGCAGACTTCAGGACCCGGGGCCTGTCATATGAGAACACTGGAAAAGCAGCCGTCTCATTTCAGAAAAATCCCAGTGTTGAACTTAGGTGACTCAAGATGGGGAAATGGTCAGTGAAGCAATAGGCATGAATTTAGGAGCTTGAGTTACGCCGAAAACCGTGTTTAAAATAAACGGCCAAGGGAATGGCACCCGCCCAGCCGGGGCAGACCGATGACAGCAGTCTTCAGGCAGCTCATTCTTGTCACTCGGCCACTCTGCATTCTCACATTCCCTGAAAGAGGCTTCACACTGCCAGGGGACATCCATCCTTTGCACGGGCTTCTGCCCCATGACCTGGAAAGAAAGGTGTTTTTAGTGATTACTCTGCCTTGGTGAAATGCAGAAGAAATAATGAAGAATCTTCCCTTACTTTCTCTTACCTAAAAGATGATGTAATTCGTGAGTCAAATATCCTTCCAGCTACAGATTAACACATGGAAGAAATAGCTCTAGCCTAGGAAATAAAGCTCTAGCAAAGGAAGACTAGCAAGGAATATGGACCATGCATAAAGGTGCTTTTGAATACTTAGTGGCTTTAGAAGGGGAGAAGACATCAGCATCCCTGTAAACAGTTATTAAGTAGCTGGATACCAGCACTTAAGAATATTGGGTCCTTACCCCTGTAAACATTACCTCGTAGTTTAAGGGGCCTTAGGGATAGCTAAAATTAGGCTTGAGCAATGAGGATCCTGAATGCTCTCAGTGCAGTCCCAAGGCCCTGATGAAAGGCAGCAACTTGACCCACCCAGGGAGGCATTGATTGGATTGATGGGATAAGCCAAAGAAGGCTAGCCACCACCAGAAGCTGGAAGAGACATGGATTTTCCTTTGGAGCCTCAGCAGAGTACACTGCCCTGCTGAGATCTGGTCTTCAGCCCAGTGATCCTGAGCTCAGAGCTCAGAGCTCAGAACCTTGAGTGGATGCATTGTGCTGTTGTAAGGCATCTCACTTTGGACCATTTGTCATGAGAAGGTAAAACAAAGTATCAATGGTATAATTTCAATACTGAGTCCACAAAGTACAGTTAAAACTCTTCATCAAGGACCTGGCATTTTAACTCCTTCTGGAAGGAAAAGACTATACCCAGGAAAAGAGACAAGCAGTGCACTGGCATAAGTGGAGAATTTGACAGTCCATGAAACTTTTTATTTATTTTTTTTTTTGGGTCCGGTCGTGGGGCCTGAACTCTGGGCCTGGGCGCTGACCCTCAGCTCTTCAGCTCAAGGCTAGCGCTCTACCACTTGAGCCACAGCGCCACTTTCGGCTTTTTTATTTTTGCTTATGTGGTGCTGAAGAATCAAACCCAGGGCCTCAGGCATGCAAGGCAAGCGCTTTACCACTGAGCCAACTTCCCAGCCCCTCCATGAAACTTTTTATTTTATTTAACAAACATTTACGGAGCTGGGACTGGGTACCAGAAACACTTTTAAAATATAGTCTCATTTAATCCTTCTGTTGGCATTTTATAGATGATGAACAAACGTTTAATTACTTGTCCTAGGCTGGGTATGTAGCTCAGTGGTAAAGTACTCACCTAGCACATTCAAGACTCTGGGTTCAGTCTCCAGCAACTACTCCTCCTCTTCCCCCCCCCCCAAATTACTTGTCCAAGTAAAGCCTGGTGGTGAGTTTAAGGTCCTGGAGCACTCTACCATGCTGCTTCTCTGCTTGGCCACAGCCTTAGACTGAGCAAGTCTTTGTCCTAAGGGTTAGTAGGCAGCAGTAGGTGGGCCTTAAGCTAGAACCATGTGCTTAGGGTTTAGATTGCATTGTGTGGGTACTATGGATTGACAGAACAACTTTAGCTGGCACAATCAAATGTCTACTTTAGAAGGGTCATTTCTGTCACTTGAGTAGCTAATAACTTAGGAGGGGAATGGGAGAAAGAAAGGAGAAAGAGACACAAAGAGGGAGAGGCTACTGGCCTTGAAAGGGGGTGACAGTGGTGATGGAAAGGAGACATAGGAACCAGAAGAACTTTTCGTGAACAAGACCTTGTGATGGAGATGGGTGGACTAAAAAGGGGAATATGAGTCACAGAAATGCTCAAGGACCTTCCAATCTCTCAAACTCAAGACCCACTCAAGTTTACTTCCTCTCCTCTTCTAGTCTGGTATGTGTTCTACAAATAAGCTCTTCGCTATTTCTTACTTCCCAGCATTTCTTGCTTTACCTGCTTCTTCCCCGTGTTAGAGCCTCACATCTGGATCAGTACAAAGCCTCCTCCACAAAGCCTCCTCCATAGCTTGGTAGGGTCAGAGTGTGAGATCTTAATCAAGGCTCAAGTATTCCAACTGTCACCAAGACCTGCCTTTCACTCAGTGGCACTGACACAGGAGAAATGATACTGTAGAATAGAGTACTGTAGAATGATACTGTAAAATAGAGTACTTTTTCTCCTTGGGGCTGTGGTCTTCATCTCTCCGAACTATCCGGTGCCATCCTCGTCACTGCAGTGATCCCGCACGGACCATCATCATGACTGAGCAGATGACCCTCTGTGGCACCCTCAGGGTCCTCAATGGCTGGGTAACTCAGCCACCACCTCGCAGCTCCCAGACATGATACCATCGGCCTCTTGAGACAAGACTATGACCATATGAAAGCTGACCAGGGATGAGACCAACTATGGCATCTGGCAGCGTGCTCTGTGGGGTCCCTTCCACTTTGTCAGTGATGTGGTCATCTCCCTGCGCCTGTGGGATCTCACCATGGGCACCACCACAAGGCGATTCGTAGGCCATACCAAGGATGTGTTGAGCGTGGCCTTCTCCTCTGACAACTGGCAGATTGTCTCTGGATCCCAAGACAAAACTATCAAGTTATAGAATACTCTGGGTGTCTGCAAGTACACAGTCCAGGATGAGAGTCACTCTGTGTGGGTTTCCTGTGTCCGGTTTTCACCCAACAGCAGCAACCCTATCATCGTCTTGTGTGGCTGGGACAAGCTGGGAAAGGTATGGAATTTGGCTAATTGTCAGCTGAAGACTAATCACATTGGCCACATGGGCTATCTGAACACTGTGACTGTCTTTCCAGATGGTTCTCTCTGTGCTTCAGGAGACAAGAATGGCCAGGCCATGTTGTGGGATCTCAATGAAGGCAAGCACCTTTATACGCTAGATGGTGGGAGCATCATCACTGCCCCGTGCTTCAGCCCTACCGCTACTGGCTGTGTGCTGCCACCGGCCCCAGCATCAAGATCTGGGACCTAGAAGGCAAGATCATTGTAGATGAACTTAAACAAGAAGTTATCAGCACCAGCAGCAAGGCAGAGCCACCCCAGTGCACCTCATTGGCCTGCCAGGGTAATAGGCAGACTCTGTTTGCTGGCTACACTGACAACCTGGTGTGGGTATGGCAGGTGACCATTGGTGCCCACTAGAAACTATGACAGAGCTTTATAAAGTGGCTTTCTAAAAAAAAATATAGATACAGTAGAATTGCCCTTCCAAAAGCCTAGTGTTAGGATTGGAAATATCTAAGGTGTTAGGGATTCGGGGCTCCATCATAATTAAGTCATATAATGCAGGAGAAAGGACTCCTTCTGCTTAGTAAAGATTCTCCAGGACTAGAGTAAGAGAGAACTAGAAGGGACAACAGGAGGAAAATGAGGGTATTATTCTCAGAAAAGATCATGAGCCATAGTCCCCGTCTAGACTAAGCTGTGGAGAAGTGGATGACCCAAGTAAACTCCCATCCAATTGAGGAAATTCACAACAGAGGTCACTGTGTCCTAGTCTCATAGAGACCCCAGAATCCCCTATGTACTAGAAGCAGAGGTGAGGGAGAAATGAGGAAAGGTCTTCAAAAGTCTCCTATGGGAAGTAGGCCCATGACTTCCCATTACTCAGAGGGACATAAAGAAGAGTGAGCCATCTCCATGATTTGAAAGACTTGTGTTCCCTACCAAATTCCGATTGAAATCCTACCCCATCCGAGGTCACAGAATTAAGAGATGGAGTTATTTGAAAGTGATGCAGGATTAGTGTCCGTATAAAGGAGTTTCTTTGGAATCTCCCGCCATCGGAGGACACAGCCAGAAGCTGCTGTGATTAAGAAATAGATCCTTTTCAATCTTGGACTTTCCAGAGTTCAGAGCTGTGAACAACAAATGGGGCCTTTTGTTATAGCAGCCACAGCAGACTAAGATATTACACAAGTATTCTGGGGAAGACAAGGGACACTCAGGAATAGGTATGAACTGATGCCCAAGAACCAAGCATTTCCACTTCTACAACCCCTTCATGGTTTAGTACGAGGAGCCACCAAAATGCAAAAGGGTAAGAAATTGATTGGGAAGACATTTTATACCTCAGGAAAGTGAGAAATAATGGAAAATGCCACCATTTCTCTTATTATTATACTTTTTTTTTTCTGTTGGTGTGGGGCCTGCTCTGGGCCTGGGTGCTGTCCCTCAGCTCTTCAGCTCAAGGCTAGTGCTCTACCACTTGAGCCACAGTGCCACTTCCAGCTTTTTCTGCTTATGTGGTACTGAGGAATTGAACCCAGGACCTCATGCATGCAAGGCAAGCACTCTACCACTGAGCCACCTTCCCAGCCCTATTAATACTATTGTAAAGATGATGTATACAGGGATTACATTTACATAAATCAGGTAATGAGTTTATTTCTTTTTGAACAATGTCACATCTACCTTCCTTTTTTTCTTTCCTGAGCCCCTCCCCCTAAGTGGTATAGTTCATTTTCAACATAGTGTCTAGTGAATATCACTGCTAACATTTGTTCACCCTTTGTCCCACTATTTCTGTGTTCCCCTTGCCCTTCCCGAAACAGATAAACTTACACACAAAAGGTACAAAAATTTTAAGAAATGACAAAGGAGGAAAAAAAGCACAAAATAACAAAAAGCCTCTGTTTCCATTTCTTGAAGTTCATTTTCATAAACATTATTTTATATGATCATATGCACATAGCTATTGAGCCTTAGAATATACTCTCCTAAGAATGTACTCCTTTGGTCTCCCTGTGTCAATGTCTAGAGTCCTGCATAAATTTTCATGTCCAGGTGTAATTTTTTTGTCTTTTACCCATCCAGAATGTTTACTTGTAGATTTATAAGCATATTCCAGTCACATTCTAGTTACAACGAATGAGGGAAACCATGCAACCTATGTTTCTTTGGGTCCAGCTTACTTCACTTAATGTAATTTTTTTCAAGTCTTTCTATTTCCTTGCAAATGATACTATATCATTCTTTCCTATGGAAGCATAGAATTCCATTGTATATATACCACATTTTCTTGATCCATTTGTCCACTGAAGGGGATCTGAGTTGATCTCTTATCTTGGCTATGGTAAACAATGCTTTAATGAATATGATTTTACTAGTAGCCTTGTTTGTGTCACACTTTCTTAAGCAGGTGAATTTATAGATGTTTCATCTGAACCATCTCTCCCTATTCTATAGGCACCAAACACAGTCTGTAGGCATCAAACACTTGTCTTCAAATAGTTGCTTTAATAACTGACCTTTATGTTTAAGACATTTCAATTGCCTCTGATTATCTATTTCATCAAGGCCATGCTGTTATTTTTAGTTCTAAAACTCAATGTCTCTTACTTAGCTTGAGTTGTAGCTCTTCTGGGAAGTTTCCTTCAACTTTCATTTCCATAACAATCACTACAATCACTACTTTCTATGGTAAGTCTTAACAGTGTTGTGTTGGAACACCTACTTTCATATATATATATATATATATATATATATATATATATATACACACACACATATATGCATGAATACAGTAGGATAGATTTGTTTTATAGTCTTCTCAGTGGATGGCTTGATATCCACTATATTCTGTGTTAGAAGAGTCTGCAATTTTTGTTGAGTAACTGCAGGAATGAAAGAGCTAATGAAGTTTACAAAGGTGAGGACATTGGTTTTACCAATATGAATGGTTTTACCAATGGAATGTGAACTAACTCAGATTTTGTTATGCCATATCCAAAGAAAGATTGGACAATTCTAAGTAGGCAAATGTGGGAAGCTCTTAAAGAGATGAGCATCTCTTTTCATCAGAATCTTTATTCCAAGGTTATTATCAACAATTATAAACCTGATGAGAGCTAGGTGCTTGTGGCTCACACCTATAATCCTAGCTACCCCAGAGGTTGATATCTGAGGATCGTAGTTTGAAGCTAGCCAGTGTAGGACAGTCCATGAGATTCTTACCTTCAATTAACCATCAAAAAGCTGGAAGTGGAGCTATGGCTCAAAAGGCAGAGCACTATCCTTGAGTGAAAAAGCTGAAGGATAGTGCCCAGGTCCTGAGTTCAAGACCCAGTGCCAGAACGCATGCACACATGCAAACATGCACACACGCACGCACACACACACACACACACACACACATCCCAGAGTTTTTGGTGTTGTTTTAGACCAAGGATTGTGGTTGTATTTCCTGATCACAAGGTTCTAACAGCCAGCTTGAAATGCTTGTGAATCCAAAGGGTTAAAGACACTGTGGTCTGCTTTGTTGCTTGCTGGTCAGGAAGGTGTGGACCTGAGCAGAAATAGCTTTTGCTTCCAGGCTGAGCTACAGCAAGCACTAGATCACCCTCATGCATAATTCACAGTCCAACACCAGCATCTCAGCTGCATTGCAGCTTTCCACCCCCCTAGTCACAGTTACCCTAGAAGAAACTATTTATATCAGGAGAGAGAGTAAGAAAACCAGAGAAATAGTACATAGCAATTATCTGAGAGGCAAGTAGACCAATTCTTAAACTGTCATTCCCCATGTTCTCTTCTATTTGAGGAAGGAAATAAACATAAATAAATGAATGAACAACTAATAATATAGCTTAAGCTGTGTCCTCACAATTTGGGTAATAACAGTTCTAACCAGACACTGATAACTGAGTTAAAATACAACAAAAAAGGCTGGAGAATAGACTCCATTTACTGACATGTTTGAACCTGAATGAGATTTGAAAACTTTGGAACTTTTTCCTCTGGGAAGTGTCATTGCTTTTTAAAAAAAAATCCATTAAAAAAAATAAAAATGCCAAATGTAGCAAAGCTCAGACATCTTGGGCATTTCTTTCCTATAAAGCACAACAAACAACTTTCTTATTTTTGGGGAGGTAGTGTCATCTAGTGGCTATAAGAGGGGGACTGGATACAGAGTTTGACTTTGCTCCCAAATGCTCATGACCTTGAGCTACTTACAGAAAGCCAGATTGTTGTGCCTTATGCCCCCTCAGAAATGTCACACTGATTTGATTAAAGAACAGGAAATTTCCATAAATGAAGAGGGTGAAATGTGCTATGTGAAGACTCAAAGCCTTATCCTACTTGTCTCATTCTACTTCTTCAATCTTTACCTAGAATTTGAATATAACAGTCGAATTTATTTCTCTTATATGAGGGAAGAAAAATACCAGAGGGAAAAAATAAATAGTTGCAAGAAAGACTGTATGTAAAAACTGAACACAGCCAGGAGTCAGCAATTCATACCAAAACTAAGTCTAGTCAAATATTGTCATCTTCACAAGGAACAGTTTTAAAACTGAAAAACTATCTTTGATTTATTTTTTTAATTCCTGATAAGGTTTAAATGTATGCTATTTGGCAATCACTCAGAAAATTATGACATGTTTTCTCAAGCTTATTTGAATTGTTTTGGAAGGTATATAGAAGTCAAACAAACATTTTATCCGAATCTATTTCTAAGAAGTCAGGTATTTATTTTAATGTCTTATATTTTGGCAATGTAGCACTTTGAATGTAGCAAATGAAACTTTTTCCCCTTGCATCAGGTGTTACATTTCCTTTCCTGCGAGCTACCTCTCTGTTTTATTCAATATATTGTAAATTGAAATCAGAACATTAAGAATGGGGGAAAAGTTAACTAGGGGACAAATGGAAATAAGAAGCATAGCATTCAAGGTTAAAAATGAACCAAAGCGAACCTGTTCATTATTCAAGCATCTATTGATCTAAGAGTTTAAAATGTTTTCTTGAGTACTGTTGAGGGCCTAGAATTAAATTATAGCCAGATCTTGTTCTCTAGGAACTTAGACTCTAGGAAAGGATATTCAGTTAGGAAGTAACAAAAATCGACTGAGCAGCTTCCTGAGCTCAAGAGCACTGATCTATTGTGTTCATGACTATGTCCTTAGGCAGTGCTTTGGCAGTGTGCTAGGCACAAAGTAGAAGCTCAGTGATATTTGCTAAGTGAATGGATAACACAACGTGGGTAGTATTGAGCCACATGAGAATTAAGGTGAAAATAGGGTAAAATTGATCAAAATAGGGACAGGTAACTTCCAGCATCATTGAAGTCATATTTTTAACTTACAAATGAGCTGACATGTGAACAGAATGTCTGGGCATTGCTATGATTTTTTTCAAATCTAGTGACTTCCTTTTCTTCTAT